TGATTTTAGAAGGCCGCCGCCGTACCTTTTGCGACATGCTAGTCTCGGATACGCGGAGCATTCTTCCTCTCGTTGGGAGTTCCTCTCTCCTGCGTGTGGGCCTGACGCCAACAGGCGACGGTAGCAGCGTGGATGGAAGTACAATTTTCAGGCGCAAGCAGCCACAAGTGCCTATCGCACAAGCGAGCAAGTGTGGCCAAAGGGAACCAAACACTACGTGGAACTCATGCAGGGTCCCCTGTCCCCAACACCCCCCCCCCCCCCCCCCTTGGCGGCTTGCAAAAGGGGGTGGAAGGAGAGGGGAAGCCTTCTTAGAAGGAGGCTGCGTCTTAGAAGGCGCGGGCCTTAATGTACAGATAAGGCCCGCGCCTTCTAAGAAGCAGGGGTGCTTCTGAGAAGCCTTCCCTTCTCCCCCTACCCCCCTCTCCTCCGCCCTCAGCACCCTCAACCTCATCTGTCACGCCCTCTCTCCCAATGCCGCCTCCTCTCCCTCCCTCCTTTTCGCTGGGCATGTCCAAATGGCATGCCGCGGTGCTGCCAAGCGCTCGGTATCCTCAGCTTCGCCACTGCCAAATATATCTATACACGATGAACCACGGTGTCGTCATCAAAGTCTGGCGCGCTGCCCGAATCTACCGGGTCACGCTTGGAAAGAAATGGAGATGTGCGCTGCCCGGATCTGCCAGTCACGCTCGAGGGGAAACAGATGAGGATGCGCGCTGCCAAAACCTGCTGGGTAACGCCTGGGAGAAGAATGAAATGCGAGCTGCCAGAATATACCGGGTCACGCTTGGAAAGAGGCGGAGATGTGCGCTGCCCGGATCTGCCGGGTCACGCTTGACAGGAAACAATTGGGGATGCGCGCTGCCCACATCTGCGGGATCACGCTTGAGAGAAGAATGAAATGCAAGCTGCCCAATACTGCGAAGTCACGCTTCGGAAGAGATGGAAATGTGCGCCGCCCGGATCTGCCGGGTCACGCTTGAGAAGAAACAAATGGGGATGCGCGCTGCCCATATCTGCGGGATCACGTTTGGGAGAAGGAGAAGCGGATAACCATGGTTGGGGGAAGCTGCATTCTAAAAAGTGAGACGACTGGAACCCCAGACCTCCGACGCCGTGTTTGTGTTGTTCACGATTCAACCGATACATTCAACCAGCCATTGAAGGCGCGAGTGGTTTAGAGCACTTGTTATTCCAACCCCTAGTCGTCCTCTTCGGGGATGGATTTATCACTGTTTCCAGAAAATTAACAGCCCCTCCCCCAGGCGACCGGCAGCCAACCAGGACCAATGAGACCACCTCCCCAACATCTGTCAAAAAACAATGTGAAGTCTACTCTGGGGCAAAAATCTTGGGTCATGATCGGGGGGATGCGAGCACATTGTGTTGTTTCTGTTGACAGGGACGCCGGGGGTGCCCGCATATTGTCTGCTGTGCGCAGAACGAGCATCCCTGTCAAAAAAATATAGAATGCACGTCGAGGCAAAATCTGGATCATGCGCGGGCACCCCGCGATCACTGTGCACTGGTTTTTGTCTGGGAAGGCTTTGGTGCTGGCATCTTGCGTGCTATGTGCAGGCCAAACGGACGCTATGATGGCCACCCCGCCGCGATTGCGCACCGGCGTTCGACAAGGGTGGTGGGGGCCGACACGTTTCCCGATGTGTACGTACTGCCACGTGCACAGGCGCGCCTGGCACGCTCTGCGCGTGCCCAGAATGCTGCGCACCTGGCGCAGCTGGAGTATGCGGCGCACATGGCGCACGTGGATCACGTGGCGCATCTAACGCACCAGGCGTCCAGGAACGCTTGGGCCACAGCGGTGCCTGGCACAGCTGGCGCGCGTGGCGCGTCTGGCACGCATGGCGCACCTCGCTTCCGCGTTGCGAACATGGGGTCTGCTGGTCTGCTTTGGTTCCACTTAGCTTTCCATCCAAAGACTACCGCTGTTGGAAGGGCGGGTGGGGGTGGGCGAGACGGCTTGCGGGCGGGGAGGGTGTCTTGAACACTGCTCACTATGAACAAGCACCCCCTCCCCCACCCGACTGTGGGCCAACCTGAGACATGTCACCCAACCCACCCCCCACCGTCCCTGTTCAAAAGAACAGAATGCACTCTGCCTCCAAATCTCGAGCGTGCGCGGGCGCCCCGCGACTACTCTGTATTTGTTTTTGACAAGGACGGCTGGGGTGCTGGCATGCTGTTTGCAGCGCACAAGTTGCGCGCAAGCCGAGCGTCCGCCAAAAAACAAAACATAATGCACTTTGCCACCAAATCGTGAGCATGCGCGGGCGCCACGCGACCACTCGGCGGGCGCCCCGCGACCGCTCTGCAGTGGTTATTGACAGGGATGGCGGGTTTCTTTCAATTCAAAAAGCAATACAGTTTCCAATGGCGCACCTCGCGCGCACTGCGCGCGCCGAGCACGTGCCGCACCTGGCGCTCGTGGAGCACGTGGCCCATTTGGCGCTCGTGGAGCACGTGTCGCGCCTCGCACGCTTGGGCCTCCAGGGTGCCTGGTGCACCTGAACCCCGGAGGAGGAGTTTTTTTTTGCGCACACCCACGTCTTCCAAAACAGTCAAGAGTCCATCTCAGCGAGCACTGGACACCGTGCAATCAGGCATGCATAGGACAGGAGAGGAGCAGCAGCAGGGGCAGGGCAAAGAGAAGCGGCGGCGGGTACTCTGCTCCGAGTGTACAGGATCCCTGGCGGGCGCGCGCCCCCCCAAAGCACACCGTCCAAAAGGAGATCACACACTCGAGCATCCTTCCCATGCCACACTCACTCCTCGGCTGACCGAGGGCCCAACCCACACTGAACCCCGGAGGAGGAGGAGGAGGAGGAGGAGGAGGAGGAGGAGGAGGAGGAGGAGGAGGAGGAGGAGGGGGAGGGGGCGCACATGGCATGCCTGGCGCTCCTCGACGCAGTGCTGGGACTCGGGTGCTGGGAGGGCGGGCGGGCGGGAGCCGGACGGCGTGCGCTCTCGTGGGGGAGGCCTGGACGCCCCTCCCTGCCCCCTTTCCCCCTGGGTCCGTCCGCGGGTCGCTGGACCGTCCAACGCGGCCTCGGCGCGATGGCCCAAGTCATTGGCTTGGCTCAGATTTTGGCCACATCGTGGCGTCCTGGGGGGGGGAACCTGATGTGGGAGTCCTCCTCCTTTGGTCGATCTCCTCTAAGACGGCCCCCGAGGCTCCCAAGGGAGCCCCAGGGGAGCCCCAAGAGGTGTCCAGGAGGCCCCAAGAGGCCCCTTCTTCGTTGATCGATCTCCTCCAAGATGACCCCAAGATGGCCCCCGAGGCTAGGGTGCCCCAAGAGGGCCCCAAGAGGTGCCCAGGCCCCAAGATCCCAATATGCCCAAACGATGACCCAAAGTGGCTCCCAAGAGACTCCCAAGACGCCCCAAGAGTCTAAGAGGCCCCCCAGAGGCACCCAAGACGCCCCAAGAGGCCTCGGCGAGATGGCTAAACTCACTGATTGAATTGAGGTTTTGGCCACATTGTGGCCTCCTGGAGGGGGGGCGTTCTCAGGAGCCCCCCTTCGTTGATCGATCTCCTTCAAGATGGTCCCAAGATGGCCCCCGAGGCTCCAAAAGGCTGCCTCAAGAAGGCCCCACGAGGTGCTCATGAGGCCCCAAGAACCTCCAAGAGGTCCTCAAGATGCCTCCAAGAGGTTCCCAAGAGGCTCCCAAGGCTCCAAGAGGCTCCGAGAAACCCTCGAAAGAAACCCGAAGAGACCCCGAGAGGAATCCTTTTCTGCTCGTCCTCCTCCTCCTCCTCCTCCTCTCTTTCTCATTCGCCAGTTCCTCCTCCTTCCCCGTCCCCCCTCCCTCCCCTCTCCTTCTTCCTCCTCCTCCTCCTCCTCCTCCTCCTCCTCCTCCTCTTCCGCCATATCCTCTTCCTCCGCCGCCGCCTCCTCCTCCTCCTCCTCTTGCTCCTCTTTCGATTCCTCTTCCATCCTTCCCCTCTTGGGGCACGACGTCTTACCCAACCCTTTATTCCACTGCGTTCTCCTCCACATCCATGATCAAGGACACTCGTCTGGGCATCGTTTCTGGATGAGCTAGTGGGGTTACGAGAAGCGCTTAGAATTTCAACCCTCTCGTCCGCTTCAAGGAGGCCGTGTCTGCCCTCCTGGATGCTTTGGTGATGGTCCCGCGGCATGAAAACAGCCATCGGAGGCCAAAGCAACGCAGGAGCGCCACAATACAAACAAAAACACGCGACGTCCGAGGTCTGAGAGGATCATCGGCGAGGCGGTCAAAGAAGCTAGGACGTGTGCGCAGTGGGGAAAATCAGAAGCCGACCTACGGCGACCTCTGCTCAGACTGGCGCGCGCCGCCCAGGTGTAGAGAAGCCCCGCAGGGTACACAAGCTGGACTCGCGCTGCCAGGTTACACAAGCCAAGGGAACGACTACTCCGGATTCCATAATAAAGTCGGGGGGGTCACATTTGGGGGGGGTCTGATTTGAGCTCTCTTGGAAGGTTCGGGGGGGTCTGGGCAAAGGGGCGCCCTTTCATGGATGGTCTGGGAGGGTCTAAAACTTCTCGTCTGGGAGGGTTGAGACCCCCTCCCTTTTATTACGAAATCTGGAGTACACAAGCCAAGTGAACGACTAACAACAACGGGCCATACGCACGATGGCATAGCGACCGTGCACGGTGGCCTACGGGGGCCGACCGCGCGGCACGCTACGTTGGACACGAAGGCGCTCACGCACGACCTCACGCGGGCAACTTACGCGTGAATCTCTTGGTAAACGACACCGTTTTTTCCGTCCCTCGAGTGTACCCCCCCGCTAAAACTACCGCCGCTGCATTCCATCCCAGGCCGTGCAGTGACGAATCAACATCTTGGAGGTCATCAGTCCTGCGTTGCTTTCCCAAACCCTACGGCTGGCAATAAGCCATGTGAGCTTCCGGGTCAGCAGGCGGGACAGTCAAAAAAGTTGGCCTCGTCAACATCGCCCCTCGGCGTTTGCGGCGGCCTTGCTTCGTTCAGATCTGGGTGGCGATCTTCACGCGATTGTCATCCGCGTTTTCTTTGCCGTCGGCAGCCTTAGAACAACAACATTTGCATACGTAAGCATAAACGTCGGGAGATCAGCGCGGAGTTCCGGGGCAGGGGCGGGACACTCCTCTCAGGGCGCGCGGAGCGCGCCAAAGGCGGCGCTGGAGGCTCCCCCGGGGTGGGGCCCCGACCCAAGAAAATCCCCGCACGGACCTCCAGCAGCTCATGACTGCAATGTAGTTCGGCGATTGGCATTTGACCCATGCCCCTGCTCTTGGGTTGGGCATGTCCTCCCACAGGCGGATTGTCGACGAGGAATGCAAAATAGTCAGAAAAAACTCCAAACATGCTCAAACACAGTCAAACTGATCATCCATTTGGCTGTCAACTGGGAACTCAGCAGGGACCGCCCGTCCTGCATTCCGATAGGCGCGCACCATTAGGTCGGGCATATCCTCCTACAGGCGGATTTTCGAATCATGAATTTCAAAAATAAGAAACCACATTCAAACATAAGCATCAACCAATACTAGACAAATCGTCCCTGGACCATTTTTGACTGTTCTGGAACTTTCCCCTCTGTGGAGGGACGTGCCCGACGGAACCCTGCTCGCGTCCCGAAGCCCCACGAGGGGCCAGAGCGGCGGCATGGATAACACTCTGGTGGTCCCCGGGGCCATGTGTCCTTTTAATCCGTGCCCTGCTCTCCCTGGCGCCCAGGTCGAGGAGACATGAAACTCGGGTGCGGGGGACTCGGGCTGGCCTGACGGGGGCATCACGAAAATCATGAGACCCGATCTGAAATTTGACGCGAACTCCCGCCGCAAGCATCCCACGCAAACGGGACCGTCAAAATCCAGGACGCGCTCGTCAAAAAACATCGGCAAACCTGAGTTCTGGCTTACTCGAATCTTCGGTTTCCCCGACCAAGGAGGACGAACATAGAAAACGTGGGGCGACGATCGTCGATACGCCAAGGCGTATCGACGATCGACACCCTATCTGATATAACAAATAAGGCATCGAGCGTGAAAAGCATATAAAAGCATGTCTGCCCTTCTTTTGATTTCCATCGGCAACCTCGTCCTCCGGCTTCTCCTCCGTATCGGCCTCCGCGACATTGCCTTCGGCGCCGGCGTCATGGCCTTCGGCGCCGGCGGCCTCCTTATCGGCCTCCGGCTTCTCCTCCTTATCGGCCTCCTCCTTAGCGCCCTTCTCGGCGCCGTCCTTCTCGGGGACGCTGTCAGAACCCGTCTTGTCACCTACGGCCGCGCTGGACTCCTGTGACCACACACACACACGCCGCTCAATGTTTAGTGGATGCTTTCTCTCCGACGACGGAAATACTGCAATGAACGGTGATTCTGGTTGGGATGATGGTGCTGATGACGATGATGATGATGATGATGATCAGGGCCTTGGTCGGCCACCACGTTTACCAAGGTGGACCGCCTCGCCGCGGCCGGGTGGGACCGCGGCGCCGCGCGCGCCCGAACGGTTCAAAACGGAGATGCCCACGGCGACCAGAAAGGCGGCGGCGAGCAGGACCGCGCCCGCGGCCCGCGCGAGGGGCTAGGCGGAGGACATATTCGCACACGCAGACCAGCAACCGAAACTGGCCCAGCAGCAACAACTCCACCTCTGGGGTGGCCGACTTGACGGCGACTTGGCGCCTGCGGGGCGCCTCCCGCAGAGGAACCCCTGGATGAGGCACTTCGTGTTGCTGCTTCTGCCCGTGGGGTCGCAAGCCATTAGACGGGAACTCCTCGGCGAATTTGCGTACAGCCCGCACCTGTGGCAACCGATGATGCCGCCGCCGACGCACGCCACGTGTCCCGCTCTGCCACTGACCTCATGCCGTCGCGCTGCCTCGTGTACGGCGGCTGCTTGTTGTCGGCGGACCACCCCGCGTCGGCGCCCTCGCGTCCGGCTGCACCTGCGGAGCTGCGAGGAACGCGCTCATCCGTGGCTGCCGTTGTTTCTGCTTTCGGTCTACATCGCGTCAGCGTTCTCGCTGTTCCAGTCCCCCTTCGCAAGGTCGAGCTGCGCTGCTGCCGCCAGGAGTGCTACAGCTGCCGCAGCAGCTTTGGGCGTAGTGGCAGTGGCAGGAATGGCTCCGATCTGCAGCCCCACTGTCATGGGTTCCGCAGTGGCCGCCCCTGCCAGTTGGGGTAATTCACCCACCTCCTGGGGGCTCTGTGATCCCCGTTGTGGTCGATGACCACCGCTGCAGTGGAGCGACGACATCCACTGGTGCTGCTCGCATGCCGGCGCAGGTTCTCTGGAACAGACGCCGCAGACGCCAGACAGGGAGAAGCAGTACATCGAATTCTGCATGATGAAATTGTGATGCCCCTCCCTTCTCTCCCCCCTCCCCACCCCCTCCCTCCTGCCTCCCCCCTTTCGCTCCCGCTCGGAGTTGAGAGCGCATGCATCTTTCCGAATTGCCCAATTGTGTTCATATGTGCTACTGACTTCTCTGGCTGGTAGATTGGTTGCTCGCCCACGCCCTGCACAGGGCCGAGCAGCCGACATGCCTGCTCGAGTCGGGGAACATCGTGGCCGCCGAGATCTCGATCGAAATGGCCACTGCGCTCGTTCGATCCAGGGGGCCCTGCAGTGAGCCATCGGGCCCTGGATCAAAGAGTCGATCCCTGGAACTTTCGAGCTCTTCGTTAGTCTTCGATCGATCAAGGGAGCCTTGTGGGCCTCAACCCCTCGGGTGTGGTCATTGAGCCCTCGAGTCCTAGAGGTCTTCATCGAGCCCTCGAGCCCTCGATCGGTCCAGGAAGCCATGTTCCCCCGAGCCCTTGATGAAACAACGCAGCTCTCGACTCTCGAGATCTTCACCTTCGTCGGCCGCGTCGTCGCCGTCATCGTCGTCGTCGGCCGCCCTCGACGCCGCCGTCGCGCCGCAACCACCGACGAAAACGAAGACGGGGACGACGACGCCGTGCCTTCCCCTCGTACTGCGACTACCCAACGCTACTACTTACGTGCTTTACTACGGCGAAAGGTTCACCAGCATACTAGCATACTGCATGGTGTCTTGTGTTGTTGCAGGAAGACTAGCTGCACATGCTACCATTACTACTGCAGCTGCCACTCCTGCTGCTACTGCTACTAATGCAACGGCCGCTAATACCACTGCCGCTACTGCTAATATAGTGCCGTATTGTTGCTGTTGCTTGAACTCGTTGTACGAGTCCCTTTTCTGTAGCACGTGCTACTCCAATTGCTTTGGAGATCCCTGAAATGATTGCCACGGCGTGCCTCCTCCGCCTTCTCCTGTTCCTCCTTCTCCTCCTCCTCCTCCTCCTCCTCCTCCTCCTCCTCCTCCTCCTCCTCCCCCCGCCTCCTCCTTCTCCTCCTCCTCCTCCTCCTCCTCCTGCTCAGAAATACTCAGTACGCGTGGGTGGGTGGATCGCCGTGGGGGTCAGCATGGGACTGTCCGGCGCTGAGCGTGGGAGGACCGCATCGCAGAAAGAGGTGGGCTCTCGGCGCGCGCGGGGACGGGGGGGCCGGAACGGGCCGTCGGGCGCAGCGGCATGGAGAAGATGACGATTGAACACTATTGCTGGAGGCCTTGGAATGGGCACCAACACCACACAAGGGGTTGCCTCCACAGCGGGAAGCTGATCCCAGATTTTGGTGTTGGTGGTATAACCTTTCGGCCACCTAGAAGCCCCGAATATCATCACCATCACCGAGGTCGGGATCATCTACCCTCGGTGGAAGCACACCGCCAGTTTTGGTGTTGGCGTCAACCTCTAGGCCTGCGATATTGAACATAATCTGTACGAATGTGTGCCAGCACCCCGACACCCGTTCACACCTGATTCCTGCACGGGCGACAGCGAAGAATACACCAGGGCTCGCCCGCGGCTGACCTGCACTCGATCATCGGTCGGCGGGGTCTGCGTTCCTGTGCTTCCGTGTGCTTGTCTACCATATCCTACGTGTGGGGTTCTTGTTATCAGTCTAACGCCTCCGCCTGACTGAACTCCAGCCTCCTCGTCGGCGCGTCACCATGGCGCAGCATAACATGAGTAAACACACCATGGACAAACGAACATAAGCACTAACAAAACATAATACTTTCACTATTCGGCGGTACTGAATGAATAAAGCTGACCATGTCACGGTTACTCAATCTTGAGATGATTATGCATTCGAAGAAGGCCGTAGCGGGCCGTAGCATCTGGCGCCAACGCAACCCGATTTGCAAAGAGGTCCAGCTCCCCCTCGCAATTGGCTTATCTTTAGAGTTTCCCCTCAGCCTATGCCGCAAGCTTGCTGGTCTCCAACTTGCCTTTGCAATGAAAAGGCGCGTCCTGCCCTTAGAATCGGGGGGACGTAAGACTCGGGTGCGGGGGACTCGGGTTGGCCTCACGGGGCCATCATAAAAATGACGAGACCCAATCTGAAATTCGGCGCGAACTCCCGCTGCAAACATCCCACGAAAACTGGACCGTCAAAATCCAGGACGCGGTCGTCAAAAAACGTCGGCAAACCCTAGCTCCGGCATACTCGAGTCTTACGTTCCCACGGTATAAACGCGTTTTGCGCGTCAACGCGCCGTCCAACAATAACACACGCCTGTCTGACTGAGATCGCGCACGATCATAAATTCGGCTGTCGACTGAGAACTGAGCAGGGACCGCCCGTCCCAGCATTCCGATAGGCCTAGCACGAAATGTTCTAAGAACGAACATTGGAGGCACAAAGACATACTAGTACTATATGTCCTCCTTGGATGTGCGCGTCCGACCCGAACATGTAGTATACCTATCTTGTAGTATATCGTTTCCCGAGCGGTGTGGCCAGAAAGCGCCCGTCACTATGCATATACTATAAGATTTCTTGGTGCGCGCGTCGCCCCTGGGTGGGCGACGAGCAGATAGTAGAAGTATGTTGGGGTGACGCCGACAAACATACTCTTCTTTGAATCTACGTGAGAAAACAAGACAGTCTCAGCCAGAAATGCTCTGCGAACATCTCGTGCAAACCACCAACAATGTCTTTTGAGAACGTGCCAAGCTGGGCCTGCAAAAAAAAAGGTCAGGATTCTTCGCCACTGCTCGAGGGAGATTCGGTTCTGCCCTTGGAGGTCTCTCGGGGGGCAGCGTTGCTTCCAATGCCAGATCCCAATACGCTCGGCCAGCGCGCTTGACCCGTCAATAACAATCCTTACGCCCCCCATTCCAAGGAAGCTCGGATCATATGTCAGCTCCTACCGAGGATTGAGGTGCCTAGGTCTGGTCCTACCCTACGACATTGAGCCACTCTTCCAACGCCCCAGAAACACAGATCGTGTTCGCTGCTCCTCAGCGAGCTTCAGATCTGCCCACTGAGCCATATCGTCCCCAGCCAGAAAAGTTCTAAGAACACGTCGTGCAAACTACGAACGATGCTTTGAGAACATTCCCTGGTGGGCCTGAAAGCGGTCATGACGCTTCGTCACTGCTCGAGAGAAGAAATTAAGGTCTGCCCCCTGACCCATATCGAGCTTCCCGCGCAATACGAGGACACCGGCGATGCCGAAAGCCACCAACAACACCACGTAGCAAGTGCTGATTATGCCCGTCACGGCATCGGAGTCCTCGCCGCCGTTGTCCGTGCCCACGAGCCTGGTGGCCGCCAGCAGTATGACGAGCAGCAGCCCGGTCTGCAGCGCGTCCAGCGCGTTCACCACCGGCGCCTTCCGAGGCGTCCCAGATGGGGTCCGAGCATCATCCAGAGTTCGCATCGTCATCATCATCATCATCATCATCATCATCATCATCATCATCATCACCATCACCATCACCATCACCATCACCATCACCATCACCATCACCATCACCATCACCATCACCGTCACCGTCACCATCATCATCATCATCATCATCATCATCATCATCATCATCATCATCATCATCATCATTACCATCACCACCATCACCATCACTATCTCCATCACCATAATCATCATCACCATCACCATCATCATCATCACCGCCATCATCACCATCATCATCACCATCACCGTCATCATCAGCATCAGCAAAAGCACCATCATCATCATCATGATCATGATCCTGATCATAATCATGATGATGGTCATCATCACCATCATCATCATCATCATCATCACCACCATCATCATCATCATAACCATCAGCATCATCAGCATCATCATCATCATCATCATCATCAACATCATCATCATCATCATCGCAAACGATCGTTAAAATCATCACGAGCGAAGGGTTCAGGAACGGAACGTGAGTGCCCGCGGGTGCCCACGGTCTAGGCCTCCCAGATGGGGTCCGAGTAGATGGGGTCGGAGGATCGCGCCGCATCGGCGATGCATCGGCGGTGCATCGGCGACGTCGGCGTAGAGAAAGTCGGGCTGGGCGCCGAGCCGCATCGCCGATGCATCGGCGGTGCGACGCGATCCTCCGACCCCATCTGCTCGGACACCATCCACTGGGGAGGCCTGGATCCTTCGAGGCCGCACCAGGAGTGCAGGGAGCCAGCGAGACGCGCCCGCCTCAGCTTCCGGGACGAGCGCTCCCGGTGCACTGCTTGGGTGGGTGCGGCCTGGCGGCGCGGTGCCTGCGCGCGCGTGTGCGTCACGCGGGCCCGCCCCTTGCGCGGAATCCCGCCGCGAATTCGAGCGCGCGGGGACAACGATTCTCGGGGGCGCGCAAACATGGATCAGCGATCCATGGATCTGGCGCGCGGTCGCCACATCCATACATGCGGGGGAGGTGCCCTCGCTAAGATGCGGCCGGTGCCGCCTCGCTCGGCGGCGGAAATCCGCGCTTCCCAAAGGAAACGGGACCCGTCGCAAATCCACACCACCTTAATCCGTGTTTGCGATCGCCTGAGGTTTGGAGCAGCTCGCCTCGCGCACAGCAGCGGCCTCCGGTGCGCGCACTGCCCCTCCGCTCTCTGCACCCCGGCGCCCCCTCGGCGCACGGGGAAGTCTGGGCGCCTGGACCCAGGAGCCGGGCCCGAGGCCCCTGGGCGATGCCAGAGGTGCCTCTCCCCTGGCCTGATGTGTCTCCAGGATGTCCAGGGAAGCCCACCTGGCTCCGCCTCCTCCTCCTCCTCCTCCTCCTCCTCCTCCTCCTCCTCCCCCTCCTCCTTCTCCTACCGATGGGGCCGCCACCTCATCCGCTTCCGCAACACACGGAAGCCACATGGCACTTCACGATCCTGGCGGCGCCGTACATCAGAACGTACAGCAACGAAATGGCGGACATGTTTACCCGCGCGTGAGAGCAGGAAGCTGAGGAGAGGACGAGCCGAGACGCGTTCAGGAAAGCCGAGATCTCTGAGACGTGGAGGAGCGTCCTGACCCTCAGGCTGCCAGCGGAAAGTCCGCGCTGTTGCGCTGGTAGACGCTGGGGATTGACAGATCGCCATGCAGCTCATGGCCAGACAGGCGGGGCCGAGAAGTAATGACAGGAAGCAACTGGACTTCTGGGGCTCGTGCGTCGTGGAGCTCGGGGGAGCGCTGCGGCCCTGCGCCCTGGCGGCGACGGCGTTGGGGGCTGAGGCGGCCACCTATCCCGTAGAAGCATGGGCCCCAAGGGGGGCCGAGGCGCCAACCAGGCGGGGTCTCCTCGCTGGGTCCGTCGGGAGTTCGCTGGCTGCAGGAGCTCGGGCGGTGCCTGAGGGCGGCAGGGGCCGCGCGGGCATTGCTGGGCCTGCAGCTGGGACAGGGAGTCTCGGAGGCCATGGAAAACCTGAGGAGAGGAGGTTGGCAAGCCAGGGAGGACACCATGCTCCGGGCAGCCGTGGGGCCCCCGTGGCGCAGCGGAAGTCGCGGATATTGGCGACCAAAGAGGGAAGGCGGCGGGCCGAAGTGTGGCTGGGACGAGGAGCCGAGGTGCCCCGGTGCCCCCTCCCGCCCATGCCATTGGCGGCCGGAATACGAAGGCACAGATGGTTCCTCAGCGCAACGGGAGGCTGGTGCTGGACCCGAAGGCGACCACGAGGAAACGAGACGAACAAGGGGGTCATCCGCATCTCCTGCCGAGGGTGGTCGGTCATTGGCACCCCAAGAGAGGAGAGGCAAGCGTGCAGGTCTACGGCACCCATGGACCATCGCCGACGCCCCGCCTGGGAGACGACGGGCGGCCCGATCCACAGCTGGTCATCGACTTGAAAGCCCACCGCCAGGCGCGAGGGTACTGCTGGCGGAGGAGGTGTGGATGCTGAGAAGTGGCAAAGATAATGAAGGGAACAAATAATGACATAAGAACATAAAAACTCTGAGATCCGCGCGGATTTCACGGATCCGCGCTGGGCTGGTCCCCCCTGGCGGCGTCTCCGGCGCCGCCCCTGGCGCGCTCCGCGCGCCAGGGGGGCCCAGCGCGGATCCGAGAAATCCGCGCGGACCTCCGAGTTGTTATGTTTGTGTGACTCTTCGCTCCCCCAGAAAGGAGGACCAAGGAGGAGGAGCAGGCAGAGTTGTGGACGCCGTGACAATGGACACCCTAACAATCCCATCATTTGATTCAAGATGCGGCTAAGGAGGCGGATGCGGAGGAGGAGGGGGAGGAGGAGGAGGAGGAGGACGAGGAGGAGGAGGAGGAGGAGGACGAGGAGGAGGAGGGGGAGGGGGATGAAGAGGAGGACGGGGAGGAGGAAATGTTTGAACAATGATCTCAAAATGTTCCACAAAGCTCTCGTCGTCCACAAATGTAGCGGCGATAGGTCCTATCGACACGCCGCGGAGGGCGCCGCCGCCGAACCGAGAGCAACGGCGGAGGTGCTGGCCGCGGCATTCCCGCAGAGCCGATCCCGGCCGAGAACCATGGGCCGGGGCGGGGACAGGAGCGCTGGAGCGCGTCGTCGCCCTGTGGACGAGCGGAGGGTGGCATAATCCAAAAGCCCTAATAACATATTGACATTTGAAATTTCATTTTCCCCTGCAGCTCCTCTGGTGTTGCAGAAAATCCTGCAACGCCTTTAAGAGGACGTTGCAGGTTTTCTGCGACCCCTGAAAGAGGGGTTGCAGAATTGTAGATTTGGCGAGAGAGACGGCGAAACGGAGACAGCGAGAGAGAGAGAGAGAGAGAACAAGAGAGAGAGAGAGAGAGAGAGAGAGAGAGAGAGAGACAGAGAGAGAGAAAAGAGAGGGAAAAGAGAGAGAAATAGAGAGAAAGGGAAACATATAGAGAGAGAGAGAGGAAAAAAAAAAACATAACAAAAAGAGAGAGAGAAAGAGAGAGAAAGAGAGAGAAAGAGAGAGAGAGAGAGAGAGAGAGAGAAAGAGGGATACATATATATATAGAGAGAGAGAGAGAGAGAGAGAGAGAGAAAGAGAGAGAGAGAGGGGAAAAAAAGAGAGAGACAGAGAGAGAGAGATAATTAAGGACATGGGGAAAAGAGCAAGAGAGCAAGAGAGAGAGAGGGAAACATCGAATCAAAGCGGGATGAGAGGGATGGAGGATGAGGTGGAGAGGCGGAGGGGGGGGGAGGAGGAGGAGGAGGGAAGGGGGGAAGGGAGGGGGGGAGAGGCAGAGGACGAGGAGGAGGAGGAGGAGGAGGAGTGAAGGACAACAGAGGAGGGCCGTTTTTCTCACCACGCAAGCGGACGCAGTACGCAATTAGGCGCGTCACTGCAGCACCACGCCACGCAGGAAGTCGGCCGCCACTGCAGCCTCCCCAGCCGTCCTTCACTGGTCGCGGCCGACGCGCCAGACCCAGCCGCTGGTCCAATCGCCTGTGCGCCAATTTGCCTCCCGCGACCGCACGAGTGCCTCCCTCAGGTCCTTTGCTTCCGCCCTCAGGGCGTTGGTTTCCGCCGCGGCTTCTTCCTTGACCTCGTTCACGCGCTGCTCGTGCTTCACCCCCTTTCCATGCGGGATTCCATTCTTTCCATGCGGGATTCCATGCGCGCAAAGATCGCAGCGATGTCGGGCATCTGGTTGGGGGCCGCCACGGCGGCCTGCGTCGGTGCTTGCACCGCGTGGCCGACAGGTCCGAGCATTCCCCCGAGGACTGCGCCCCCTGCTCCTGGGCCATCTGGGCAGTGGAGGGCCCCCCGCAGGCGGCCAATCGCACCAGAGCTGCTGGGCCGCGGGCTGCCAGGAGTTGCCTGGCGGCGGCCACTGCTCGCCCTGCCAGGGCGGGGGCGTTGCCTCGAGGTCGGCGCGCGCCCTCAATGACCCATCGGCATTCGCCGACGAGGCCGCCGCTGCGGCCAAGGCGCGCGCTTTCGCATCGTGGGCAGCGGCTTTCGATAACGCCAGCAGATGCGTCTGGAAGTCCGCCGTGGAGGCCCGCGCTGGGGGGCGACCTCCGCCTGGAGCGAAACCGTGGTGGAACTGACCTGAGGGCGCTGCTGTTTGCGCGCTGGGCTGCAGCCGGAGGTGGATCCCGCGGTGGTGTTGCTGCTGCTCCTGGGGCGGCTGTTCGGGCTGCTTCTGGAGCTGGTGCTGCGGGGGCTGCTCTTTGGAGAGCTGCCTCTCTGGCGGTGCTGCTCCCGGGGTTGTTCGCCCTTGCGCTGGGCGGGCCTGGCGGGCATTCCATGGGCGAACATTTGAGCGCGTTGGGCGCCCCTGCAGGGCATCCTATGGGAGGCCCCCCCCCCCCCGCGCCTCCGCGCCCTTCCCCGCCCCCTCGCCCTCGGGGCATCCAAAACCCAGAGAATATGAAGCATGTTGACTTCTCGGGCCTCCTCCACCTCCGCCGCCCCCTCCCCCGCCCTCCTCCCCCAGGGCCTCGCGCCTCCTCGGCCGCGGCGCGCTCGGGGCCCCGGGCGAGCGTCGCCCGGGGGCGCGGGCGCAGGCGGCGAATCGCACGAAGCATTCGCTCGAGCGGGCCCCCCGCCCCATCGCGGAGGAGGGGGGAAGGCGGGCCCGCCAGGTGGTGGGGACTCACCAGGGGAGCAATGCAGGGCGCGACGTCGTTTGCTTGGCCCTTGCATGTTGCGCCGGCGCCACTCGTTCGCCGATCCCCCGATGCGCTCGGGAACCCGATGCCGTCGCAGACTGCCCTCGCAGAAACCCGAGTCGGAAGCGGGGCCCCGGGCAGAAGCAGGGGCGAGCGGGCCCCCCCCCGCGCTGCGAAACCTCGCATTGCGAGCAATGACACAGCGCAAGGAAGCGGCCGAGCGCGACCCGCCATTCCCAGCCCGAGCACCCTCGCAGCGCGGGCGCAAAAAATAATAACGCAGACTCATCGAGCAACGCCGCTCGCCCGCCGTACTTATCAAACCGATGCATCCCCCAAGCTTCCTTCGCATGCGCAGTCGCCCTCGCGTCGTTCACCCCGGCTGCCCCCCCCCCACCCCCCCTCGGTCTCGGCTGCGCCGCGCGCTCTGCTGCAGCGGGCGCCGCGGGCCCCGCCATTGCTGCCCTGGGGCAAGAACTTGCCCATGTAGCTCGCGCCCTTAGCGCCGCTCTTGCACGGTCGGTCACGCGCGGAAGACGGGGGGGGGGGTCCGCCCCCCCATCCTTGCCCACCCCCCATCACCCTCCTACTCAGGACCTCAGACATGGAAGACCTCAGGCAATGAAGGACACATGCTGACCCAGGCAGGTCGTAGGCCGACCCTAGGGGGCCCTTGAACACGAGCGACACGCATGTCACACAACACACGCACACACGCATACACGCGCAACGTGCTCGATCAGGGTCGCCTGTCGAGTCGTCCTTGGGGCCGGCCTTGGGCTTGGCGAGCGCCGCGGTCTTCGCCGTCTTCCCCATCGCTGCCTTCTTGCCTTTGGCCTTCCCCTTGGCTTGCCCCCGGCCTTGCCGCGGACCTCCGCCTCGCCTGGGCCCCCGCCCTTGCCTGCCCCAGCAGCAGCGATCAGTCGCCTGCTCGAACTTCGCGGCCTCTTCGGCGCCCTCGTCGTGGGATCCACCGTTGTCAATGGGATCCGTGCCCACTAGAATGGGCGCGCTGCCGTCTGTCTGTGGCGATGGCGTATCCTGCCCAGTCGCGCTAGCAGCCGATGGCGGCGCCGTGTCTTGCCCAGGCACGCCGACAACCCCATGCTGCGCCTTGCTCTGTGGCCTCCGCTGGTCCTCGGGCTCGCGTCGTCGGAGCGATCACTCTTTGGAGCGTGCGTGGTGTTGACTCCGCCACTGCCGCCATTGCCAGCGCCTGTCGTGCCAACGCCCTGTACGAATTGACTCATACCCTGCATCATCATGGCGACGAACGCGCTGGCATTTGACGGCGGCGCCTGCACCCCAGCCCGGGGCCCAGGCTGGGGCTGGTGGTCGGCGGGGACAATGGCATGATAACTGATGGCCCTCTCAGCTTGCAAGCCCATCTGGTTGCCCTTCGCCCCCTGCTGCCTTTTCCCCATATCCAAGGCGCTGCGGGTTACTGCAACAGGTGGCCAAACAGGCGGGGTGTCGCCATATTCATGATGGACAACAGGTGCTGGATGACGAAATGGTTCCATTGGGTATAGCTTCTGGTGCTAGTATGGCCATTGCCTTGCCCTTCTGCTGAATGGCTGCCTGCAACCTCTTCGCCATCGTGCGCCGCTCAAACAAGCTCGTATGCCCGCAATTGCCCGCGACCAGTTATATTCCGATCGCTCATGTCAGCAGAGGCCACCCAGGGCAAGCCAAACCAATGTTGCACGTGCTGTCTGTCACGATCGCAAGTAGGGATCCCCGATTGCGCCCAGTCGTTTTCAGTGACAAAGTTCCCCAGGCAGTCGCAGACATGTTGTGCCCGCGGTTCCTTGCCCACGTGCTGGTTGAGTCGCGCGTCAGACAGCTGACTGGCGATGCAAGTTATCTGATCTGCGGTCCACGGTCCTGCGGAGACTCCCTTGGTTACCTCGGTTGCTGCTTCGGGGGTGATCCCTGGGGTACGCGGGTATTCGCCAACATGACGCGCACCGCATTCGCGTGAGCCTCGAGCAACCCCGTCAGCAGTATGCCTGCTGCTGATTGGGCACACTCTGTCGGAGAACGGAGATGCGCTGAGCCACCACGTCGGGGGCAGACATGGCCACGCGGCGCCGGCGACGCTGAGGGCGGCGCGACGACGGCCGCAGCCGACAGAGCTCTGCACGAGCATAAACGCAGCAAGGGGCGGATTACATGGACAAAGCTGATGGGAACGAAGAGGCCGTGCCCATGAGGGGGAGGGGGATGGACAGGAGGAGGAGGAGGAGGAGGAGGAGGAGGAGGAGGGGCGTTGGGGCTGCGGCCCAGGGGCCCTCGGAGCGGGAGATTGCCCTGCGAGCGGCGCATTGCCGCGCCTCACCTGAAAAACCCTCCACGGTTGAGACCCCCCTGGGGCTGACGAACCTCGTTCGTCAGCCCCCTGGGGCTGAAGAACCTCGTTCGTCGTTCCCGTGGGGGAACGAAACAACCGAAGACACTCAACGTTCACATGATGCCATCATCATCATCCTCAGCATCCGCATCCTCATCCTCATCATCCTTGTCATCCTCCTCCTCATCATCAGCATCCTCAGCCTAATCGTCGTCATCATTATCATTACCACCATTATCAGTATCATAATCATCACCAGCATCGTAACATCATCTGCACAAGCATGAGCAGCAACATCAACATCATAAGCATCTTCATCACCGCCATCAATGTATCATCATCATCATCACTATCGTCATCACCATCAACATCACCATCATCACCGGCACTACCAGCATCCCCTATCACCCTCCTGGTCTTCATCCTCACCACCCTGTCATCAAAACCATCACCATAATTCTCCTCCTCGTAAGCATCACCATTCCTCATCCTCCTCATCCTCAGCATAAACTTCTTCCTCGTCATCACCATCACCATCCTCATCATCACTATCCTCATGCTCATAATCATCATCATCATAATCATCATCATCAGCATCATCATCAGCATCATAATCATCATCATCATAATCATCATCATCATCATCATCATCATCATCGGCGGCATCGCCATCGTCATCGTCGTCGCCATCATCAGCACAATCATTGGAATCGTCATCATCATCGGCATTATCGGCATCATCATCATCATAATCATCATCGTCCATACCGCCATGACCATCATCCCCATCACCATCCTCGTCCTCATCGTTACCACCAGCGCCATTAGCATCACTACCGTCGTTATCATCCTCATCATCATTACTATGCCTCCTCCTCATCAATCCCGTTATCACCACCATCAGCTTCGTTGTCATCATCACCATCATCAGCATCAGCGTCATCATCTTTACTATCAGCATCATCGTCTTTGTCGTTGTGGCCAGCAGCAACATCACAATCACCATCACCATCAGCATCATAATCAGCATCAGCATCAGCATCATCACCATCACAATCACCATCACCATCATCATCGCCATCGTCACCATCACTATTACCACCACCACGACGATGATGATGCTGATCATCATCATCACCATCACCACCACCATGATCCGCATCATCATTATCGTCAACATCATCGTTACCACCATTATTATCATCCCTCTCATCGTCCGTGTCCTCATCCTCACCACCACCATTATTATCATCAACATCAACATCATCATCATCCTCCATCATCATCAACATCAACACCATCATGATCATTATCATCCTCATCGCCATCGCCCCTGATGGGCTGACAGATTTCGAATGAAGACGCAGCCAAACTCAAACACAGCCGAGGTGTCACACGTGACAGCGTGAAACACAGTGCTCCCCAAACACATGAAATAACCCTATGACACGTGCGCCACGTGTTACGGCTCTCAAAAGCTCAGAAGAGCAGGGATACAAGATGCCACACGTTAAGATATCCATGCTCCCTCGCGCACAGTCGACCACCAAGAAAACTGGGCCGGCACAATGGCGGGACTTCCCGCAGGCAGCTGGATAGATCAAGAATCCGAACACTTACATAGAATCTCGATTCCAACAATCATCCCGCGCCTTCCAGGGCCAAACCAAGCACAGGGCCACCAAGTACACTACCATCACCACCGACAGCAATAGCAACTGCGTGAACGGGTTGGGCAGCAACGTGATTATACTCACCGCCGTTGACCGCGCTAAAAAGCACAAGCCCCAGTAGTAGGCGTGGGCCTCGAAGCGGAACAGCACAAACTTGATGGCCTGCAGATACTTGGTCATGTTGCCCTCGCGCCATGCGGGCGACTGCCTCACCGAGAACGCATACATCGTGATGAAGAGGAAACAAGGCAGGAGGCCAAAGACTGCAAAGGCAACGAGCCCAGCGTACGTGTCGCTCGTGGTGTCGATGTCTGGGCTGCTAAGCATGCTGCTGCGGTCGCCCTTGCCGGGGTGCTCAAAGGTGCGGAAGGGCCCGATTACGGTGAGGATGATTGTGATGAATGCGGCCTTCGGAGAAGAGCCAGTCGCGACGACGGCAGCCCTCCCTATAGTCAGTCGTCCTATTTCGGGTGGTTGAGCCTTCTGTAGGCTTCTCGTCGGAACGGCGGGATCCGCCTCAAAAAACTAACAGTAGTCCGGGGACCGATCTTTAGCGGATTGGACTGGGCGGGAAAAACGCCGTTGTCTCAACTGGCCCTCCACCGAGGCCTGGAAGAAATTGCACACGGTGTTGAACGCTTTGGTGGCCTCCCATCGCAACGGCTCCGGCAGGAGCTTGCTCAGAAGGCACAGCACGGCGAACAACCCAAACATGAACCAAGGCAACCCCACTTTCAGCGCATAGCTTGCGATCACGGAAGAGCCCAAAGAACACTCTGGTCTGAGCGCCCTGAGGTCCAACGCGAACAACCGTGTCCCGGCGAACAACCCGCCAAGGCCGTCCGGAAACGAGATCGCCAGCGATGCCAATGCCGCGCACGACTGCATCGTCATCACAAACGTCCCGGCGCACATCGCCAAGACCATTAGCGGCGACAACTGGCCGTTGAGCGGTCCGTTGATGAAGTAGTAGCTGCCGATCACCGCAGCAAGGCCCGCCAAGATCACAAAAACCAGAAGGACTGGCTCCCAGCCATCGCACTTCGCGCAAGGACCGTCGATAGTGCTGAACGAGCCATCGGCACACTTAGCACACGCGATGCCCACGCGGCCGTTGTCGCAAGAGTCGGCGGGCCCGCCCGGGCAAGGACTCACGTATCCTTCCTGCTGGCACGTCTAAACGAGTGGCACGCGTGCCCTGGCTCTTGCACAAAAGGAGCTGCGAAGGACAGGGAAGCCTGGACGGAGGAAGGCTGGACGGAGGAAGCCTCCGAAGGGTGGGTGGCCCAGGGGAGCTGGGGCTCAGGCTCAGGGGAGGGGCCGAGGGGGACGAACCACCACGAGCCACGAACCACGAAGAAAGTACAGGGTTCCGCGGCCCAGGGGGGCTGCCCTGGGAAGCCTGGACGGAGGGGGGGTCCCAAGGGGTGGTCGCCCAGGGAAGCTGGGGCTCAGGCTCAAGGGAGGGGCCGAGGGGGACGAACCACGACGAACCACGAACCACGACGAAAATAAGGTTGTCCGCGGCCCAGGGGGCTGTCCTGGGACGCCTGGACGGAGCAAGCCTCCGAAGGGTGGGTGGCCCAGGGGAGCTGGGGCGCAGGCTCACGGGAGGGGCCGAGAGGGACGAACCGCCACGAGCCACGAACCACGACGAAAATAAAGGGTCCCGCGGCCCAGGGGTGCTGCCCTGGGAAGCCTGGACGGAGGGGGGGTCCCAAGGGGGGTGGCCCCACGACGAAAGTAAAGGGTTCCGCGGCCCAGTGGAGCTGGGGCTCAGGCTCAGGGGAGGGGCCGATGGGGGACGAACCACGACGAACCACGAATCACGATGAAAATAAGGATGTCCGCGGCCCAGGGGGGCTGTCCTGGGAAGCCTGGACGGAGCAAGCCTCCGAAGGGTGGGTGGCCCAGGGGAGCTGGGGCTCAGGCTCAGGGGAGGGGCCGAGGGGGACGAACCACCACGAGCCACGAACCACGACGAAAGTACAGGGTTCCGCGGCCCAGGGGGGCTGCCCTGGGAAGCCTGGACGGAGGGGGGGTCCCAAGGGGTGGTGGCCCAGGGAAGCTGGGACTCAGACTCAGGGGAGGGTCCGAGGGGGACGAACCACGACGAACCACGAACCACGACGAAAATAAGGATGTCCGCGGCCCAGGGGGCTGTCCTGGGACGCCTGGACGGAGCAAGCCTCCGAAGGGTGGGTGGCCCAGGGGAGCTGGGGCGCAGGCTCACGGGAGGGGCCGAGAGGGACGAACCACCACGAGCCACGAACCACAACGAAAATAAAGGATTCCGCGGCCCAGGAGTGCTGCCCTGGGAAGCCTGGACGGAGGGGGGGTCCCAAGGGGGGGTGGCCCCACGACGAAAGTAAAGGGTTCCACGGCCCAGTGGAGCTGGGGCTCAGGCTCAGGGGAGGGGCCGAGGGGGACGAACCACGACGAACCACGAATCACGATGAAAATAAGGATGTCCGCGGCCCAGGGGGGCTGTCCTGGGAAGCCTGGACGGAGCAAGCCTCCGAAGGGTGGGTGGCCCAGGGGAGCTGGGGCTCAGGCTCAGGGGAGGGGCCGAGGGGGACGAACCACCACGAGCCACGAACCACGACGAAAGTAAAGGGTTCCGCGGCCCAGGGGGGCTGCCCTGGGAAGCCTGGACGGAGGGGGGGTGCCAAGGGGGGGTTGCCCCACGACGAAAATAAAAGGAACCGCGGCCCAGGAACCACCACGAAAATGAAGATGTCCGAGCTCCAGAGCACAGCTGTGCAAGGGAATGAAGAGTACGGGAGAATGGGGACGACACCCAGCAGCAAACGTTGTCCAAAACCGATTCCGGCCGTTGTTAGGCAGACGACTTCTGTCTCAAATGGACAGCATCCGCGGCGACGCCAACAGCGAGTCCTGTTCAAATAAATGGGCACTGCTGTCAATATGTGTACCCATCCCTCACATGCCCAGTTCGGCCGCACCGATCCTGATTCAGAGTCTGAATGCCAAGTCCATCGCACAGGTAGATGTTCAGCGCAAGCTGGTCGGAGGCCGAGCCCTCCGAGCTCTTGTAGCCCGCCGCCAAGTAGTAGCCCTCGGCGACAGCCATGTTCGGTCTCGACACATTGACGATGTTCAGCTGCTGTGCGTCTGGCTCCACGTATCCGTACAGATCGTGGTTCTCTCCCAGAGCGTCTATGAATGACGAGCCCAATGGGCACTCAAAACCTACCGGGCACGCCTGGCAGACGGGGAGATCGTCCTTGGTCGCCACATCACCATCAACCAAAATGGGCTTTTCTGGCTCCATAGTCCCTTCGAGACACAAGCAACTGGCGAACAGCGAGGCTGAGTTCTCGAACGTGGTCCGATCTGATGGGCAAGCCTCGCACGAGGTCTGTCCCGCCGCAGTCTGCACCTGGGGAAACAAAAAAAACGATACTCTCCGGGTCTCTCCCGGGGTGCGTCCTGGCAGGATTTCGAAGCGAATCCAGCGGTGGAAGCGAGGACCTTCGAGAAGGCAACAAGAAAAGGAAACGGGCGAGGGGTGGCGGTATCGATGCCTTGTTTTTTTTCCCTCTGAGCACCTGTCCAATCACGCACGAAGCACACGAGTCCATCCCCGCTAGGGCTGCGAACTCCCCCGGCGGACACGGCGAGCAAGCCGAGGAGCCCGGAGTGCCCGTGGTGGACCCCGCGGGGCATGGCTCGCAGGTCGCCTGGCCGCTCAGGTTCTGGAACTGCCCTGGCGCGCACGGGTTGCACTGATCCGCGCACCCGCCGCTCTCGCAAGATGTGCCCGGTGGGCATGCCTCGGCGACTGCGAAGGATGTGATTTGCAAAGGGTGTGGTTTGCAACCAGCATTAGGTCGGGCCTGTCCCCCCACAGGACGATTTTGGACGAAAAATAGAAAATAGCAGGAACATGCTCCCAAATTGTCAGAAGTTTTGGGGAAAATCGTCCCCAGACTATTCTTTGACTATTTTTGAACACCCCTCCTGTAGAATGACGCCCGACTTACGGTTTGCAACCAGCACCCTGGGGGGCACCCCTGGGGGCGGGCGAAGACCTTGGCGGACTGTGCCGCGCCCCCGGGAGGACCGACGAGGACGGCGTCGTGCTCCCTGGGCCCCAACGGTGCCGATCGCAAACCACACCCCGGCGTAGCCATACCCCGAGTTTCTCAGCAAGCGTCGGGGGGGCGTCACCTCCGCCGTCAGCCCCGCATCGACCCCCGTCGCGGGCAGCCATCGCGCGCCGAAGGCGCTCCGACCCCCGTCGCGGCGCGACGACGAGGCGAGGTTGACCCCCGTCGGGGGTGTAACCCCCCCACGCTTACCAAGAAACCCAGAGTATCCTTTGTAGTCACCAAATTCCAATTGGGAGTCTTGCCCTTCCAGTGGCTGGTAGTAGCCGGGGCTTGTGTAGGCGCAGTCCCTGACAACGGCATCCAGGTACTGCCCTGGTGGGCACACTCGAGGCATGCCCAGCAGGAAGCTCTCGGGTCGGGGAAAGCCCAAAGTCGCCCCCGTCCCGAACTTGACGCCCGCGAGAACTTCAGTACGCGGCTTGGGTTCCCAACTGGTGATATCCCCGGGAGTCGCGCTGTACAGGTCCCACGTAGCGACGCTGTCCAGCGTCGTGGCATCCGCCGACGCCTTCCGGTAGTTGACCACTGAGAAGTGAGAGCTGCGTTCTTGCCGCATGCCGTCGCGCCACTCGAACCCGATGGGCCCACCTCGCATGCCCCCACGTCCATCACCCACCCAACAGATCCCCCCTCCCAGTCCCCTGCCGCCCCCCGACATCCTATCTCCTATTTCTTCCGCCCCCTGTTTCCCCTCGCCCTAAATTCCCTCTCCCACCTTGTTCCCCTCCGTCCGCACCCTGTGCATAACTTACTACGTCCCCCTCTCCCCGCGCTCCCTGCCCAGCTCAAATTCCCCTCCACCCACAAACTCTGCCATTTCTCCGTCCCCTGTCTCCTCCCACCCGCCCTTTATTCCCGCCCCGTCCCTCATTTCCTCCTCCCCACCCGTTATTTCCCTCCCGCACGCCCCCTGTGTTCCCCTCGCCCTCACACCATATGTCCTTCCAGCCCAAGCTCTATCTGTTCCCCCGCCCCCAGCTTCCCCCCCCAGCCGCTCATTCCCACCCACCACATCCCATTTCGTTCCCCCCACCTCTCCCTGTGCTGCTCCTACAAGCTAATATTTCATTATCCTGCACAGGATGTATGGAGCTCCGACCACTGTATTTCCGCACGCACGCGCAGCACCGGCACTGCGCACCCCCAGCCAACCCAGCTCCCCCTCGCCCCCCAAACGGCGCGCCCCCCCCCACCCTGCCAAACTTTGATTTTGTTGGCGCGCGCGTGGCACCAACGCCCGCCACCCACCTCCGTCCAGCCATCCCGACCCCCCCTCGCCCCCCAGCAGCAGGCGCGCCCCCTCCGCCCCGACCAACCAATCTATTCTGGCATGCGCGGACGGCACAGGCACCGCGCCCCCTCGAGCTCCCCCCCAGCCAGCCCAGCTCCCTTTCGCCCGCCAGTCAGCGCGACCCCCCGCCCCATCATGTCGGCACGCACGCGCGCACGGCGCCTGCACCGCGCCCCCCCTCCCCTCCAGCTTGCCCAATTCCCCCTCGCTCCCCAGCCCGCGCGCCCCCTCCGCCCCAACCACTTCATTTCGGAGAGCGCGCGGCTCCCCCTCCCCCCCAGCCAGCCCAGCCCCGCCCTTCGGAACGCTCCCCTTCGCCCCAACCACCTAATGTCGGGGCGCGCGCATGCCGGCAACCGCAGGCCCTCCCCCCAGGCAGCCCAGCCCCCTCTCGCCCCCAAGGCTGGCGCCCCCCCCCCCCGCCCCGACCACAATACGTCGGCGCGCACGCGCGTCGCCGTCGCCGCCCGCCCGCCCCCCCAGCGAGCCCAGCCTCCCTCGCCCCCAAGACTGCGCGGCCCCTCCGCCCCGACAATTTCATGTCCTTGCGCCGCTCGCCCACCCCAGCCCGCCCAGCTCCCCAATGCAAGCCGCGCCCAGCCAGCCCAGCACCCACCTCACCCACCCCGCCCACCTCAGCCAGCCCAGCACCCACCTCACCCACCCCAGCGCCAACGCCGCGGCCCCCCCATGCAGGCCCAGCTCCCTCTCGCCCCTCGATCGGCCCGGCCCCTCTTTGGCGACTGCCCCAACCCTGGCCTGGGCCCGCGAGGCGCGGGACTACCCAGGCGACCGTCATCGCCAGCGCGCGGGCTGATCCAGGGCGCAGGCCGACATCAAGGCCAGCGCAGGCCACGACACCAAGGAGCTCTGGAAGCACGCCAGGGGTCAAGCATGCAGGCGTCGGTGCTGGATCATGGGTGGAGCATGCCCTCGGCCTCTGCGGTGGTCATGCCGCCCAGAGGAGGAGTGCTCCAGGGTACCCCTGTGCAGATCGGCGTGGTGCGCGCGTGCCCGAAGTCCGTGGAGGAGGCTTTGCTGCGCGCGTCCAGGCGCAAGGCTCTGGAGGTCTGGGCCGCCAGCGAGCCCGAGCGGCAGCCCCTCAGGCCAGCTCCCTGGCTCACGCCAGCGCGACTGCTCATCGAGCGAGGGAAAAAGGGCGTCTGGACCAAGCAACATGCCGACATTGTCAAGAAGGCGGTCCTCGGCGGCTTCCCTTCGCAAGCGGCCATGTATCGCAGGGGCCAGGCCGACGTCGCCGACTGCCCCATCTGCGGTGGCGCGAGGGCTCGCTGCAGCACTGCCGCCGGAAGTGCCAGGGCCAACTCTGCCAGCCGGCCAGAGACAAGCTCTCGGCCTACGACGCCGAGGTCAGCTTCAGGGACATCTTCCACGTCTGGGCAGAGGTTTGGGCTCGTTTGGAGGACGTGGACCCCGTGCCCGGCGACTCTTTCCAGGTCATCCAGGTGGCGCCCCACGTCGGCCACGCCAAGAAGGGTATGTTGTCGGCCCAGGCCCAGATTCACACGAGGCACAATGCCCTGGCGGACAAGTAGGCTAGGGAAGGGGCCGACCTCAGCGCGCGGCCAGAGTGGGCCACTCGGCAAGTCAAGATCGACCCTGATTCCACCGAGCGCGCCATGGAGTACACTGCCTACTTCCGCATCGAATTGGGCGGGCCCCTCTGGCACAAGCCAGGCAAGCAGCCCCAGACGACGAGCAGCCTCAGCGCAGAGCCACCCCAGCTCCCAGGCGCCCCCGCGACCTGGTGGAGCGCGAAGGCTACGCCCAGTACAGGCGCGGCAAGATCGTGCGCACCCAGCGGGCCCGCTTCCGCTTGCAGGAGTGCCGAGGCCGCCTTTCGGGCTTGCAGGCCAAAGCCATCAAAGGGGCAGCCAAGCGGGGCGGGGCGGCAGTCCCGCTGTCGCTTGTCGATGGGGTCGGCACCCCGAGCTGCGCGGGCGAGGCAGGGCGCCGAGGAGCTCTACCATCAGGAGGACTCCCCAGACGCGGCGGCAATTGCACCCCAAGTTCCTGAACCCGCGGGGTCCTTCGTGCAGGCCCGCGGGGCCGTCAGCCGCGCCGCGTCGGACGACCCCAGCGGCTTGGGGGGGCCCGCCAAGCACGCTGGACCAGAGTCCCTTGCACACCCAACTCCAGGCCATCATCGGGGATGCTGGCGCGTGGGCTGCCATGTGGGTCGACAACCTCGGTGCGGGCTTCTGCAGCTGAGGGGACTTCCTCGTGTGGCCCCAGGCGTACCTGGAGGCCCTGCTCAGCATCGAGCAGTGGTCAGCAGTCAGGGCCAACTCCCTCCCAGTCTAACCCTGGCCGTCCGCTCAATCAGGTCGCGGACGACCTGCGCCTCAGCGCGTGGCTGCGCTGCGGCACCCAAGAGGAGAGACCTCATCGCGGCGGCCCGGCCAAGAGTCACCCTCTCGGCGCAAGAGCGAAGTGGGTTCATCAGACACCACTTCGGCACGATCCACCAGCTGCGCATGCGATTCCAGGGCTTCTAGGGGGCGCAGGCTCCACCCGCGGCTGCTTCTTGGCACAGGTGGGAGTCTGAGCCCATGACGTCGGACGAGGACAACGACCTGGGCGGCGAAAGGTCGGACCCCATGTTTGACGACGAAGCTGCTCCCTCCAGCCAGATCCAAGCCAGGGCCCATCGTGAAGGCGTTGAGGGCCCTGGGGCCAGAGCTGGTCACCATCCAGGGCTTCCAGGTCCACCAGGGCCTCAGGTACCAGCGCAAGACGAAGCACCAACAATGGACCGTGTTCCACGCGAGCAACGGCCACCACCTGAGCGCGAGGTACCACCAGACGATCGGCTTCCACCAGGGCTTCCCACCAGGGCTTCCAGTACCAGCGGAAGAAGCAGTACTACCAGCGGACTGGCACCCACCGGGGCAACGGCCACCACCTGAAGCGGGGCTTCAGCCAGTCCATCAGCAGAGGGAGGCGAAGTACCACCAGTGGATCGGTTACCACCTGAGCAACGGCCATCACCTGGACAAGAGGTGCCACCAGACGCGGGGCTTCCACTTCACCCCCAGGCATCTGCGGAGGGCGAAGTACCACCAGTGGATCAGCGTCCACCTGGGCATCGGCCTCCACCTGGACCAAAAAAAACACAAAGAGAGCGGTTTCGTTGTGGAGAACGGGCCCGTGAAATCCAGGAGATGGACGTGGAGCTGGTCCTTGCGCTGGACGTGGACGGCCGAGAGTTTCCCAGCCTGGGGGACCACGGCATCGGCACTGCCACTCAGCCAGGAGTGGAAGCCGACACGAGCCCGCACCACGAGGGCGCTCAACATGCTCATCCACGGGAAGGCAGCCTAACATATGGCGGTAAGCCCCCAGCTCCACCTACCGCGGCCTCGGCGGCTGGGGCGGCGGCGTCCAGCTCCAGGAGGCGAGCGGCCTCGGCGGCGCCCAACCAGGGGGCCCTGTCGCCTTTGGAGGCCCCCAGGGCTGCGCCGCCGCCGCCGCGCCCGCACCAGGTCGAGACCATCGGCGAGCTCGTGGCCTGCGCGCTGCGCGGGTCACACTTCGAGCAGGTGACCAAGGGCCTCACGGGCCCATTGCAAGAGTCTGGACCTCCGCGACCCTCGGAATCGTGCACGCCAGGGGAGGATCGGCCGCGTCCGAGACGGCGAGGATCCCAGGTCGGGCAGGTCGGTCCAGTGACGGACCCGTGAGGAGCATGAGGCCGCCGTGCCCGCCTCTTGGCCGAGGGCGGTGCGGGCTCGCGCCCGCCCTCGGCCCTCCTCGCAGGCCCTGCTCGGCAGGCGGCGCTGCGGCCGCTGGAGAGCCTCTGACGGCTGCGGCGAGGTCTGCGGAGGCCCCGTGGTCGGGAAACACAAGCACACAACCACACACACACATACACAACCACACTCCTCAATTCTCTACTCGTCCCCTGTATCTCTCCACCACACCGGTTTCCCTTGAGCACCACCCTAGTTCCCTCCCACCATACAATATATCCCGATCCCTACCCCCGCGTTTCCTCTCTCTCTCTCTCTCTTTCTCTCTCTCCCTCTCTTTCTCTCTCTCTCTCTCTCTCTTTCCCCTTTCTTGTTTATCTCACTCTCTCTCTCTCGTATCCGCCCCGCCGCCCCTGATTCCCTTCGTCATCCTTTCCCCCACTCAGCCGATATTTCCTTTTCCCCACCCAGTAATTCCTTCTCCCCACCCCCTACCGCCTCTCCCCCCACCTCTTCCTTCCGCCCCCTCACCCCTCATGGCCTCCCCCCCCCACACCACCCAGTCTCGTCCACCCATGCATTCTCCTCCCTCACGCCGATGAGTTCCTCCTGCACACCCCCGAATTCCCCTCTCACCACCCCCTATCACCCTCGCCCCCCACACTCTAATTTTGCCCCCACCACCCTTGAGTTGGCCCCCCTTTTCCCCCACTCCCCGGGCCGCCCGAGCCAAGACAAGTCCCATAGAATTCCTTCACATGGGTGTCTGGCACGCCGTCGCCATCCTTATCGAGCATCACGGGGTCGCCGCTCGAATCCACGCCCTGGGTCAGGATGTTCAGCATCTCCATCAGCTTCGCTGGCGTCGCCGAGTCCTTGTCGAAGCCCTGGCCACGCGCGTTTAAACGCAACCCAATGTCGAACGCAGCCGCGTAGGACACCACCGCGTCGTACGCTAAGGGACTATACTCGCTGCAAAGACTGAAGTCCTGTCTCACCCGGGGCCAAGAGAAATGCGAGACATTTTCCCTAACTGAATCAGGTGGACCCATCTTCCCGTCGTAGCCGATATCTGTGCTGTCGCACAGCACGTCCTGCTTCGTGCCGCATATAGGTGACTGCTCGAGAGCAGTGTGCACAAAGGAATCGTTCAGAAATCCGCCAGCATCCACCCACGGCTTGACTTGGCCGACCAGAGGCGGTTCCACGCCGTACGCGGCCAGCCACGCGGCAGATATCTGGTGGTCGGGCAACACCGCGAACGCTCCATCGAAGTCGGTTTCAGTTCCACTGATCTTTTCGGGGTGGACCACGATGTAACCTTCGTCGCCGTTGGACAGGCCTCGGCTGTTCAGCTTCTGCATGATTTTCGCATTCTGCGCCACCAGGCCGTTGAGTATGATGGTTCTGGTTCCCGAGGCCGCGAACTCGTCCATCAGATCATCCAGGAGCGTGTCGGTTTGATCAGCTGCGGCGGAGGGCACAAGGCTGCTCGCGAGCGTGCAGGTCATATTGTACGTGGGGCAGTAGCCCTGCAACGCGTCCCGCATGCCAATGGGGAAGGAGTCGTCGATGGTGACCACGAACACCTTTCGGGGAGCCCAAAACAATTGCAAAAGCGTAACCTTTCTGAACTCGGTACGGATTTCTCTGATATGCTCTGACCACCCCGCACGCCAAAGGCAGATCCGAGGGATCCGCATAAAGCTTCACGGTGTTTGTTTATTCGAGTGTGTCTTCCCCGAACCTTGGAAATGCCCCACGACTTCAGCCAGGCAGCCACCAAAGCCATCTTCAACGAGTCTGGGGGGCAAGTGCGCCAGAAATTCGGGTAGCCGCTGTTGCCCGACTTCTGGGACATGGCGGGGTTGGTGGCGTAAGCGCTCATGATGGGCACGCTGAAGCTGTCGAAGAAAGAGCTGGTCTTCATGGTGGTGCCGCTGTACGATGGGCCCAGAATCCCGTGCACTGGCAAAATGTCATGGCCCGCGCCCGAAAAGTTGGACTCGTTCCACGGTGCCACGCTGGTGCCTACCCAGCTCATGAACGGAGCCTGTTTTTCACGCGTTTCTGCTACCGATAAGACTGCTAAAACCTGAAACCTACTAAATTCCCGCGTCCAAGTCGGCATCTATGATTTTGAACACCCCAACACAAGAACCATGTGATACCATTGCATCATTTCTCTACTCACCATGGTCATCACCGCTCTCGTCCTCTCCGCTCACCATGGTCATCACCATGGTCATCACCGCCATCATCATCCCACACGCTACATTGATGAGAGCCTCTACGATTACCCCACACACGCACACTCACGCACTCATGTACTCTCACACACACACACACACACTCAAAGTCTTACTCGCACTGACCACTAACACGTCCACGTACCTACATTCAGGAAGCCTCGAGCGGGAGTTTCGTATGAACTGAATTTGACGAAGTCTTGAGCGGAGACCGTCCTGATTGGGTCCCCACCTCACGCTTCTAATCCGAAGGGTGTTCATCGGGATCCTTTCACCGTCGTCACTTGTGGGTTGCTGAGGCCTGAAGCTGGGGGGGGGCATGGGGACGGAATGTCGGGTGGGATCCTCGCCTGTGAACTAACTGGCGGAAGCTCCCAAGCGAGGGCCGTCTCTACAGGGTCCCCGCCGTGCGTGTCTACTCTGAAAGATCATCGGGATCCTGTATCGGTCGTCGCACTGGGGTTCCTGAAACCTGAATATGGAAGAATACTTTAAGCGGGCGCCACATCTTTGAGCGAATGGAAGCGAATTTCGAGATTGAGCCCTTCACTATGGGATCCCAACTCCCAGCCCCGAAATTCAAATCTGATGGGGGGCCATCAACACCCTGTACCGCCCTCACTTTCGGGCCCATGGTTGCTGAATACTGTGGCTGTCTCAGTCGGGGACTCGCCTGTGAGTTCATTGAGAAAACGCATCGAACGGCAGCCCCTCAATATGGGGTCGCGTCCTGGCGTTTCTGATCCAAAAGGTGCATCGGAATCCTTCAACGGTCATTGTTTGTGACATCCTGAAACTTGAGAACGGACTGATCCATGGTGCTCAAACCCCCCGGGGCCTGCGGGCCGCAGCCCCTGGCCCAAACCGCAAGGGAAACAAACCTCTGATGGCCGTTCCTGGCCGCCTTAAGGGCCGGAAGAGAAAAGGGAGGAGGAGGAGGAGAACGAGGAGGAGGCGGACGAGGAGGAGGAGGAGGAGAGTCATGAGAAAGAGGAGAAGGAGGAGGCAGAGAAAAGAAAGGAGGAGTCGGACGAGGAGGAGGAGGAAAACGCGGAGGAGGAGGAACAAGAGGAGGAGGAGGAGCATCAGGAGTATCAGCACTGCGCGCCAAGGTGGGGAAGTCGACTGCAATATAAAGTTCAAGGCTGTGAAGAGCGCAAGCAGCAAGGGCTGGCGCTGCAGCAGCTACGGCTTCTGTCACGGCCATGCCCTTGGTAGCCGCTTGGACGTATGGATTCAGGCCGTCGCGGCCCACATTAGTGGGTAAACAGGCCTTCGTCCATCTTCGCAAGGTTCTCCTTGCCCTTGCGGGAGAGCCCAGAACACTGGGCCGCGAGGTGGCGTGGGTCAAATGTGGCCGCACGGCCATACTTGCGGCAAAAGTACAGGCACAGCTTTTGCACGTAGTGGAGCTTATGCGTGGTTTGCAGCTCACGTCAGCACGCGACGGCTGTCATCAATATCAGGACCACCTGCTCTTTAGGCGTCGGCACGGGCGGGCTGGCGTGGCAGGGCGTCGGACCAGCCTATCGGGCGGCACGCTTGGCTGCGATGGTGCCGCAGCGCGAGCATATGCACTTGCTAGCGTGCAACTCGAAAGAATACGCTCTGATTGGCAACGGCGGCTGGAACTCGGCGAGGCGCGGGCCCTTTGCTTGGGAGGGCCGCTCGGCGACCCATGGGTCCACAGCTAGCGTGTCAGCGAGTGCCCTGCGCGCTCGCCGACGAATCAGCGCGCGCTGGGCGTCGTCGCCCCCGCGACCGCTGGGCAGCAGCGCCTGCCCACGCGTCGGCGCAGTCATTGCCTAACGCGCGCGCGAAGCGGACAGGGTCTGAAACGAGGTCAGGAGCATCATCGCCGTGAATAAAGGCCCACAGCACGTCAACAGAGCCAGGGCCGCGGATGCGAGCGGCCTTCCCCGCGCGTGCCACGCGTCCTTGTTCGCGCCTTCTGGGCGCAAGTGTCGGCTCGACCCCCACCTGTTCAGCAGAGGCATGCGATCGGTCACTTACCCCAGGTTGCCTAGCGAACTCTCACGCCCTAGGGCGAACGCGGGCAGCTCCGCCCTCGGGACAATATGGAATGAGCTCCCCGGGGCCGAGATTGCGCCGCCCCGAGGGGCCCGCGCCCCGAAGTGGCATCTCATCGCGACGGCGGCGGCCCCCGCCCTGAGGCGTCGGGGGTCAGAGCTGCATTAAACACCTGAGCCGTCTCCGCACAGGGCGAGGAGGCGCGCCGAGTCTTCGCGCGCCCCCCCCCCCCCCCCCCCCAGCCACGCCCGACCCAGCTCCACCCACCGCCCTCGCCCCCCCCCCCCCCCCCCAGCATGCATGGCAAAGACAGGGCGCGGGCAGGGAAGCCGCGGCGCCCGCGGGCAGGCGAGGCTTCCGCCCCATCAAAGGCAGAAGGGATGAAGGCGCCAGAACGCACGTGGCACCCGCGGTCGCAGATGGAAGGGCGCAGCCAGATCCTGTGCGCGAGCGTCTCTGCGTCGGCCCCGCACCTTGGGCGCGTCGCGCCCGCCTTGTAGCTGGCCCCAATGGGCCCCTTTCTCGGCCACTGCGCTCCCGCCGCCGCGCAGATGGTGAGAGCCTGCTGGTCGAACGGGCCCTTGTTGGTGAACCTCTGCATCTCGCGCGCAATCGCGCGCGCGTTGGGCTCATCGCGCTGTGGGCCGTCACCGCGGGGGCGCTTGGAAGCATCGCCCCAGACGCCCTGCTCGGTGGTCTGGCAGAACTCGCGGGCGAACTGCGACGGGTGGACCACGTGGCGCTTCTTCCCCCAATCGCCGCGCTTCGGGCGGTGCGATCCACGTCTGCTCAGACGGCTCTCCTCCGCGGAGTTAAATCGGGAAGCTCGAGGAGAGACGGGCGGCCCCGCCCAGCGTCGACTAGGATGGCCAACGCAGCGGAGATGGGCCCCACAACCTTGCGCCACCTCTTGTTGCCGTAGCTGGCGGTCTTTTGGTGGACCTGCGCCCGCGCGTGGATGACCTGCGCGTGGTGCGCGGGGTTTGCGAACCAGACGTCGAGCCGCTCCTCGATGGTCTGCGCGCGGAGCTCGGCGCCAGGGCCCTTCGCGCCGAGGGCGGTGGCGAGCGCCGCCGGGAGGCGCCTGCGTGGTGCCTCGCCCGCTATCGCCTGTAGAGCCTGTCGCCGTCGGTCGATGACTGCGTCCGGGGCGAGAAACCGTGATCCGGTGAACCGTGGGCGCCCTGCGGCCCGGGGCCCGTCGCGATCTTGACGGGGGAGGCGTGCTTGCGCATCTTGGTGACAGCGCGGTCGGTCCTGCGCTTTGCGCCCCCCGCGCGCTCGCAAGCCTTCGAGGCCGCCCTCCTCTTCGCAGCTGCCGCGTCAATGCCCAAGTCGGCAGATGAGCTGGCGACCTTGATGGCGCGGCCCTCGGCCTTGAGGCGCGCGCGGGCCCCCGGCGCAGCCGCCGGGCTGGGCGCGAGGACCGCCGTCTTGGGCGAGACCTTACGTTCCGCCGCCGCCATGCCTTTGCAGAGGACGGCGCCCGCCCCTGTCAGGCCCATGGCAACCTGCTCGGGCTCGCCCTCGGCCCTGGCGACGGCGTCGCCAGCGAAGGAGGGTCCAAGGGCCCGCGCGCGTGTAGTCGGCGCGGGTCTCGGAGAGAATGCGGCCCAAATACAACTTTGCGGATTTCCCGCCGAGCGCGCTGCCGGCGGCGCTGAGGCGCTGCGGGTCGACGACGCCGGTCGCCCAGCCACGACTGTGCAAATGGGCCTGGGGGCGGGGAGCAGCTGCACCTCTAGCAGCACGACAACAGGCGGGCACCTCGCTTGCATGGCAGCGTCGAGGCGCTTCACAAAACTGACGGAGCCGTAGAACTTCGCAGCGCCCATGAGGAGCGCGGCGCACGAGACTGCGAAGGTCGCCGCCGACTCGTCGAGACGCGCCCTCACGAGAGCTGCGCGCACGGCGATGGAGCCCTTCATCGCAGCGCCTGAACACGAGCAGGTCCTGCGGCCACTGGTCGGTGAACGCATCGCGCAGCTTGCTCCAGGTCTTGGCCATCGTGGGCAGCGTGCCGAGGATTCGCTCGCCTCCAGAAGGCTCAAGGGCCATGGCTCTCACGGATGCGGAGAATTGCTGCGGCCGCAGCCCGCGACGCTCCGCGTGATTGTAGATGTCGGCCAGCTGCTCGACGCCGTTGGGGGGGGGCGCTGAACGTCGACCAGTCCGATGTTTCCTGCCCCCCGTGCCTTCTTGGGGTCAGCGACGCTGACCACCGCGTGTACGTGGTGCGGCTCGGTGTCAGGGAGGGGGTCCTCCCCGTTGATGGCGGTGTAGGGAGGCACCGACGATGCTGCGGTTCAGCTTGGTCTCGAGGTTCTGCCCGCTGGGGTCGACGACGATGCGGTGCCACTCCCCTGGGGTCTTTCTACCATGCCTTCTTGGCCCAGTCGAGGCACCGCTTGCGAGCCCTGCCAGCAGCCCTCGCCATGGCGCGGCCAGCCCATCGCTGCGTCGCGGCGCGAGCGTGGCGGAGGCCACCCACGTCGCACAACGAGGGACGTGATTTGGAGCTTCCACTTGTCGACCTCGGACGGGCCAACTTTGGCGCCAAAGTGGTTCATTTCGAACTCGATATGTTAAGCTGGTCCAGCTTGGCAGTAATGGTCTTGCGGGTCAGTCGCTGGGCCTGGACGTCCTTGCCGTTCTTGACCAGCGAGGTGTAGCGGGCGATGGGCGAGCTGACGTGCTGCCGCCGCGCTGCAGCTGGGTTGTTTAGGTAGGTGCGCCGATGCGTCGCCTCCATGGTCTGGTTGACCGCCAAGTT